CACTCACCTCAGCCTCCCAAAGTGCTGGGATTACAGGCTGAGCCACCAAGCCCGGCTGCTATAATTTTTTTTAAGTGGAGGTCTCACTCTGTTGCCCAGGCTGGAGTGCAGTGGTACAATCACAGCTTATCACAGCGTTGACCTCCTGGGTTCAGGTGATCCTTCCACCTCAGCTCCCCGAGTAGCTGGGACTACAGGTATGCACCACCATGCCCAACTAATTTTTTTTTTTGAGCTGGAGTCTCACTCTGTCACCCAGACTGGAGTGCAGTGGCACGCTCCCGGCCACCGCAGCCTCGACCTTATGGCCTCTGGCGATCCTTCCGCCTCACCCTTCCAAGTAGCTGGAACTACAGGCGTGCGCTACCATGCCTGGCAAATAATTTTTGATGTTACGTAGAGGTGAGATTTTGCTATGTTGCCCAAGCTGGTCTCCAACTCCTTGGCTCAAGCGATCTTCCTACCTCAGCCTCCCAAAGTTCTGGGATTACAGGTGTGAGCTCCCATACCTGGCCTCATCTGCAAAGACCCTATTTTCAAATTAGGTCACTGTCATAGGTGCCCAGGTGTAGGACTCAAGCCTATCTTTTGGGGACACAGTTCAACTCATAACACTCAACTGTGGCACCACAGACGTGTTAGGCTGTCCTGCCCCTGAAAAGACACATAGAGATGGGGCAGATCACCTTACCAGAGATCCCTGTGAGTCCCAGGAAGGGCAGGGCAAGAATCAGGCCACTTGATGACTCATGGTCTGTACAGTTTCAGAAGGCTGGTCTTGGCTTGGAGCTGCCTTGGGACAGAGCTGGGGACTCGCAGTCTTACTCATGTCCACCCCCTCAGTACTGTAGCCACACCTGCTGGCTTCTGTCCTAACTCCCCATCATAAAGAAAAGTGGCCTCGGTGGCTCAGCCTGTAATCCCGCGCCTTGGGAGGCTGAGGTGAGTGGATTGCCTGAGCCTGCGGGTTCGAGACCTGCCTGGGCAACATGGCAAGACCTCATCTCTACAATAAATCAAAAAATTAGCCGGGCATGGTAGCGCGCGCCTGTAGTTCCAGCTACTTGGAAGGCTGAGGCTCAAGAATCACTGGAGCCCAGCAGGTCAAGGCTGCAGTAGCCGGGAGCGGCCACTGCACTCCAGTCTGGCGACAGAGTGAGACTCCAACTCAAAAAAAAAGAAAGAAAGAAAAGTGGCCATGCTTCTAATCCTCCTCCCTGGCCAACTCCCAATCAGAAGTCTGAAAGGCTTGGGGCTGCCCTCCCCCACCCCATAGGGCAGAAATGTTCTCACCATGTTCTTCAGACACATTCCTTCCCTCTAAGCCCCTCGAGTTTATTTTCTCCACTCACTCCTATTCCTGGTTATAGCCCAGAAACTCCCCCTCTTGACAGCATATTCTGGGCCTTTCAGATGCTTCCTTGACCTGAAGATCCCTCTCTCCAGTTGCCTCCGAGTTATGGCCCTAAGCCGGGTGTCCAGGATTCTCGTGTGAATTTATTTCACTACCAGGAGTCAACACAGGGAGTTTTTGGTCTTGTATGGTTATAAGCCTTTGTTACTAATACAGTAAAGATCTAGGCTGTGTCTTCTTTTCTTTCTTTCTTTCTTTTTTTTTTTGAGTTGGAGTCTCACTCTGTTGCCCAGGCTGGAGTGCGATCGCACGCCACCACAACCTTGACCTGCTGGGCTCCGGTGATCATTCCACCACAACCTTCTGCCTCAGTTCCAAGTAACTGGAACCACAGGCATGCACCACCACGCCCTGCTAATTTTTTAATTTATTGTAAAGATGAGGTCTCGCCAAATTGCCCAGGTTGGTCTCAAACACCTGGATTTAGGCAATCCTCTTGCCTCCACCTCCCAAAGTGCTAGAATTACAGGCATGAGCCACTGTGCCCAACCAAGTCCTAGGCTACGATCAGAAAGGTGAGGGGCCACGTAAGTGAAACGACATTAGACCGATATGGAATTGTGTGTTTTGGTTGCTGATGGTGTTTGTGTTTTTTACTGAAGGGTAGGAACTGTGTTATGTTTTAGCTGGAACCGCATCTTACATCTTTTCTGAAAAAGAAAACTCCAGAAAATGAAATAAAGGAGACTGATTTAACAAAGAAACCCTTGTACTTGAGCTTTGATATCAGTGTTATTTTGGTCTCTCTGTCTGGCTTTATGTGTTACAAATGCCTGGGACTTCCCAGCTAGGCCTTGGGAAAATAATAATGTCATTCCTCTTAAACCAAAAACTGACCCCTGTCCTAACCAATCTCTCTTTTCACATCAAGAACCCATTATGCTACGTTTCTTCCATGTATCATTTTTCTCCATCTCATCTCTCGTGGCTAGTATTTTTCCAGCCATTCGGACAATTTTCGTTTGCCTGCCAAGTAGGTCATATGAGCCCAATTATGCCTTAATTATTGCAGTTAAGATTCAGATAATACCAAGGGACGTGTCCTTAGCTTTCCTAACACATTCCCTTAAGTCCTTTATTACCTAAGGTATTTGTGTTCCCTGACAAGTGTTCCTCCAGATCTTATTTAAAGATTGAGCAGGGGCCTATAGGTCAGACAAGAGCTTGTGGGAATTAGCTCTCATTACTGGGCACTGTGGTAAGCACTTTGCATAGGTGATCACAGCATCTCTGAAAGCTTCCAAAGGATCAGGGCTCCCCCAGCTGAGGTGGCAGCTGAGGTGGCCCTGATCCACAGGACGGCAGAGCTAGCTCACCACTGAGCAACACTACTTCTCATTTCATAGCTGGCACGTGTCACTTTACCACCCTGTCACGTGTCATGCTGACATCAACCCAGGGGTCCTATTTTTGCTTCAGAACTTCAAGAACTCTGGCCCAGAGAGGTTGACAGCTTGCCCAGTTGCACAGCTCAAAAATACAAAAGCCACTGGGCGTGGTGCCTCAAGCCTATAATCCCAGCTTGGAAGACAGAGGAACCCAGTGGTTCGAGACCAGCGGAACCCAGTGGTTCGAGACCAGCCTGGGAAGCTTGGCGAGATCTCGTCTCTACAATAAATCAAAAAATTAGCCAAGCTTGGTGGCGCATGTCTGTAGTTCCAGCTACTTGGAAGGCTGAGGCAGAAGGATCACCTGAGCCCAGCAAGTCAAGGCTGTGGTGGCTGTGAGCGTACCACTGCCCTCCAACCTGGGTGACAGAGTGAGACTCCTACTCAAAAAAAAAAAAAATACAATAGCCAACACTCAATTCAGATCTCTTGATTCTCACTCTCACCCCATCCTTCATGTTGCAAACCAAAGGATGCCTTTTCCATGTCAATCCCGGGCTACCTGAACTTTGGCCCATGCCAAAAGAAGATACCAGCTCTTTGAATAGATAGGTATTTGGGGATAACAGGATGATTTTTTTTTTTCAAATAGCTGAAGATAGTTACTTGAATTTCCTTTTTTTTTGAGTTGGAGTTTCACTCTGTTGCCTAGGCTAGAGTGCAGTGGCACACTCACAGTTACCACAGCCTCTACCTGCTGGGCTCCGGTGATCCTTCCACCTCAGCCTTCCAAGTAGCTGGAACTACAGGCACGCGCAACCACGCCTGGCTAATTTTTTGATTTGTTGTAGAGATGAGGTCTCACCAAGTTGCCCAGGCAGGTCTTGAACCCATGGGCTCAGGCAGTCCTCTCACCTTGGCCTCCCAAATTGCTG